GATTATTGGTTTTTGCTTTTATTTAATATTATTATTTTTTCTTTTATTTAAAGATGGGGTTTCACCATGATGACCAGGCTGGACTTGAACTCCTGACCTCAGGTGATCCACCCACCTCAGCCTCCCAAAGTGCTAGGATTACAGGCGTAAGCCACAGTGCCCGGCCTGTTTGTCGGTTTTTAACTAGAAAAAAAAAAGTTGACGAGTTGGAAGTTAGGGAATGTCTCACCCTGTCACCCAGGCTGGAGTGTAGTGGTGCAATCACAGCTCACTGCAGCCTCAATCTCCTGGGCTCAAGTGATACTCCCACCTCAGCCTCCCGAGTAGCCGAGACCACAGTTGTCTGTCACCATGCCAGGCTAATTTTTAATTTTTTGTAGAGACAGGGTCTCTCCATGTTGCCCAGGCTGCTCTGGAACTCCTGGGCTCAAGCAGTCTTCCACTTCAGTCTCCCAAAAGATTGAGACTATAGGGCTGGCACAGTGTCATGTCTGTAATTCCAGCACTTTGGGAGGCCAAGGTGAGCAGATTGCTTGAGGCCAGGAGTTCCATACCACCCTGGCCAAATGGCAAAACCCTGTCTCTACAAACAATACCAAAAAAATTAGCCGGGCATGGTGGCACATGCCTGTAGTCCAGCTACTTAGGAGGCTGAGGCAGGAGAAATGCTAAAACCTGGCAGGCAGAGATTATAGTGAGCCAACATCGTGCCACTGCACTCCAGCCTGGGTGACAGAGTGAGACTCCCTCTCAAAAAAAAAAAAAAAAAAAAAAAGAGAGAGAGATTGTAGACGTGAGCCACTCTGAGCCCAACCTTGGATCATTTTAATCTAGGTGGGAATGTGGGGAGGTGGGGGGGCGGGGTGGATATGAAGTCACATTTTATTGAAAATAAGAAAGTAGTGAGACATATAGGTGGTAAATTAGTGCAGAAAGCTCAGAATTAAGAACAAGAATCTCTTAGTCCCGCCTATCCTAAATCATAATTTATCACGGCCAAAAGCAGGATGGCTTTAGCAGACATAGCCCAGCTCCAAGTCCCAGTTGCACTTACACCTTGTTAGATTTGAGGAGGCAGGTCACTTACACCCACCGTTTAAGCCACAGTTTCTTTCTCTGAGAAAGAATAGTGATACCCACCTCCCCAGCTCACAGAATTGTTGTGAGGATCAAAGTGATCAGGCTTGTGCATAAGAATTTCTGTGACACCCAATGCAAATGAGAATCATGTCGCTTTTATTACATGTAGGAAAAACATCATCCAAGTTTGGTGAGAAGTTCTATCAGTGAATGCCTGAGCCCAGCTTGCTGATCACCTTATGTTAATACAAGACCAAATGCAGGAACAGCTTCATCTACCTTATTTTAATCAAAGGGCAAATGCAGGACTGACCTCATCGTTTGGATTTATGTAAAACATAACCAACATATAGGACATCACCATTATGCAGAAAGCTCTTTTCCCCATTAAACAGCTAGCGCTTAGACTTTCTTTACTGGGACAAAACCTTTTATTCCACTCTTTGAGATTGACTTCAAATGCACTATGCCTGAAAAAGACTTAAATTGAGACTTAAATCACACTAACATATATGTGACTATTTCGTTTTTCAAAAGTATGTTTTAATAGGAACTAAGGAGAAAATAAGTGTGGTTTGTTTTGCCTTTTTTGTTTTAAGTTTTTTGGGTTTTTTTGAGATACCCAGGCTGGAGTACAGTGGTGCAATCTCGGCTCACTGCAACCTCCGCCTCCCAGGTTCAAGCAATTCTCCTGCCTCAGGCTCCTGAGTAGTTGGGATTACAGGTGTGTGCCACCATGCCCAGCTAATTTTTATATTTTTAGTAGAGATGGAGTTTCACCATGTTGGTCAGGCTGGTCTTGAACTCCTGACCTTGTGATCCTCCCTTCTCAGCCTCCCAAAGTGCTGGGATTACAGGCATGCGCTACCATGCCCGGCCTTTTGTTTTAAATTTTAACAGTAAAGTGTATTTTGTTACCTGCACTGCTAAAGAGATGAATAATTGTATAAACTAGAGGCAGTCACCCACCACTCTGGTGGGCTATAAAAGGAGTCTTTCCCTATTTCTTCCATCTCCCGACCCTTGAAATTTTAGATCTCCTGCTTCTTTAAGAGGGCAGGTAGCTTCAACATTGATTTCAAGTTAATAATAAAAGCACAGACAACATAACCCCTAAATTATATTTCGACAAGTTAATAATAAAAAGCATGACAACATAATCCCTAAATTATAGATGAACAAAAATCTTGGAAGAACACTGGAGTAGATCACAGGGAATTGTACTAACTTCTCCCCAGATAGCAAAGCCAATACCTGTGACTAATCCGCTCTTGCTATGATCAAGATAGTCATCACAAACACCATGATGAAAAAAATCCACATGAAGAATCGGTCTATGACTTTCGCCACCTTCTTCCATTCGCTCCCCTTGGAATTGGTGGCCTTGTGGTCTCTGAGGCACTTGGCGATGTACTCAATATTCCTCGTCAGCACTTTGTACTGTGCACAATAACTCTCGGCCTCCTGAGGATTCTCACCCTGGCAGCCCAGGTCATTCTTTAAGCGTTTATTCCTGTCCTTCTTTCTGGAAAGGTCTTTGTTCCTGGCTGTGTTCAGGTTAGACTCTGGGAGTTTGCTGTAAACTTTCGTGAGGCTGTCCTGCTCCCTACTGTGGTGCGGGCTGAGGCAGCTTTCACCCACATCATAGACAAACAAGACCCTGGACATGTATTTCAGGATGACCACCCTGGCCCAGTGTGGCACCGGCCGGGCCTCGGCACCACAGAAGTGGATATTCATCACCATGATGGTCAAGGCGGTGGAAGCTGTGATCAGGGCCATCGTGGCTATGTAGTATTTACCTGGAATTAAAATAACAGCAATAACGGACTTTGCTTTAAAACTGTCCTCATACAGCCATGAGTCACTTAGCAACAGGGATACATTCTGAGCAATGTATTAGTCATTCATTGATTTTGTTGCTGTGTGAACATCATAGAATGTATGTACACAAACCTAGATGGCATAGCCTTCTACATACTTCAGCTGTATGGTAACATAGCCTGTCCCTTCCAGGCTACAAACCTGTGCAGCATATTACCGTATTGAACGCCACCGGCAATGGTACACATGATTATCAAACGGTAAGTATTTGTGTATCTAAGCATGTCTACACATAGAAAAGATAAAGTAAAAATTGACATGATGGGCTGGGCACAGTGGCTCAAGTCTGTAATCCTAGCACTTTGGGAGGGTGAGGCAAGCGGATCACCTGAGGTCAGGAGTTTGAGACCAGCCTGACCAACATGGAGAAACCCCCGTCTCTACTAAAATAGAAAATTAGCCAGGCATGGCAGCGCATGCTTCTAATCCCAGCTACTCAGGAAGCTGAGGCAGGAGAATTGCTGGAACCTGGGAGGCAGAGGTTGCGGTGAGCCGAGATCCCGCCACTGCACTCCAGCCTGGGCAACAAGAGCAAAATTCCATCTCAAAAAAAAAAAAAAAATTAACATTATAATCCTATGGGACCATTGTTGTATACACATTCTATCATTTACCAAAGCATTGTTATGCAGCACATGACTGTATTTGTCTTAAAAAGAAACAAACCCAGACAAGGATGCCCTCTCTCACCACTGCTATTCAATATAGTATTAGAAGTTCTAGGCCGGGCGCGGTGGCTCAAGCCTGTAATCCCAGCACTTTGGGAGGCCGAGGCGGGTGGATCACAAGGTCAAGAGATCGAGACCATCCTGGTCAACATGGTGAAACCCCGTCTCTACTAAAACTACAAAAAATTAGCTGGGCATGGTGGCGCGTGCCTGTAGTCCCAGCTACTCAGGAGGCTGAGGCAGGAGAATTGCCTGAACCCAGGAGGCGGAGGTTGCAGTGAGCCAAGATCGCGCCATTGCACTCCAGCCTGGGTAACA